GACATTTTTGACAAAAGTATCAAATACAAAAGTTTCAAGAAATTGTCGAAAGTTTTTAACTAAGTCAGTTTCAGCCATACAGGGTGCGTCAAAAAAATGTAGCAGTGTAAAATTATATTTTTTTAAATGGTATGTATGAAATTAAAAAAAAATTATACCCTTTAAGTTTTAGAGAATTTTTATGATAAACTCTATTGTTCAAATTTTATTCCTAAATATACAAGGTGAAATATTATAATAAATCCAGATGTCTATATTATTATTATTATTTTTTTAAAAATAACATGAGAGACCTAGGAAGGGATTTTCGTGTTTTTCCCTATAACTGTTGGAGATGAACTGAGAGATAAACATATCAAACCGTATATCGGTGAAATCAGGTTGAAGGGAACTAGCAAATAAGCGCACAATATACAGGATGTTCCATTTAAAAAAAATATAACCTCACTTTTTTGACGCATTCTGTATACCTAAAACAGACTTAGTTAAAAACTTTTGACCATTTCTTAAAACTTTTGTATCTGACTCTTCTGTCAGAAACGTCAAATGAAAAAGTTAGCAGGGGTGACATTTATAATAGATCACTCTGTACATAAAATCTATACCGGGTGGGCCAATGCTCAGGCTCAGGCTAATAAAGAGAAAACAAAATAAAACAGATTTTTTATATTTATCGTCGTTTAAGAAAAAAGCCTCGGAACTGTCAATTTTTATTTTTACACAAAAAAAATTATTTGAACTGGCGCGAAAACGCGAAACGGGTTTGTGACGTCACACACCAGAGAATCAATAAAAATGCGAGGATGCCAAATTTCTCATTAGTAAATCATTACATATTTCATTAGCTAGAAACCATTTCCGTCCTTTACTAATTACTACATTATAAAAAAAATAAAGGATAGGTATAATCACCATAATTTGCCATATTCCCGGCACGTGAAAGTGGCCCATTACCGGAAGACGGTCTTCATTAGGCAATCCAATCCATGTGTCAAAAAGGAAAATTCAATATGGCGTGGCGGCTAAGCAAGTTTGTTTTGAATATGTTTTTATGCGTATTTTAAATTATTTTGCTTAGAGTTTTGCTTGCAACTTTGATTTTAATTATTTAATAAAATATTTGTTGACAAGGTATCTAAACTATTAAATAGGGCAGAAAGTAGATATTTTTTTGTGTTTTTTGGCCGCCACGCCATCTTAAGTGTCACGTGGTTAGGATTGCCTAATTGACGACAACGTGTGGCTTTTAAAACTGAAACTTCACGTAAAATTAAACTTCTGAGGTTAATTACACTACGGCACGTAAATTCCACAATTTAAAGAGCTCCATTGAGGTACAAAAGCAAGGATGATACACACATCCTCATAAGGCCTGCCTGTAACAAATCCCCCCCTTCCCCCACCCCCTTCTCACGACAAATCAGCAGTTGTGACGTGGGCAGCATGTTATTTCTCGCCTTGACGTAGGCTGTTTAAATAGCTGACGACTTAAGTTATGATGTCGGAAATGGTGACACACCAATATGGCGAAGATTACGAAAAACGAGGCCGATAAGTAATCCTGTAGGTGTGTATCATCCTTGCAGCTGACGACTTAATTATGACGTCGAAAATGGTGACACACCAATATGGCGTCGATTACCAAAAACGAGGCCGATAAGCAATCCTGTAGGTGTCTAGCATCCTGGGTACAGAAGCGCCTTCTACAGCTCAATTTTCAATATCACATTCCTTCCTATAACATGTGAGCTGTGAACAAATATTAGGCGAGTTCGGGTAATCCTCTGTTAGTTAAAAGATGACGCTATAAATTGTATAAATCTACAGTGGCTACATAAACTTTTACATACAGTGGCGACAATAGAGGCCCCGCTGCTATTTTGTTCCCAACCTCTTGTTACTTTTGAATATGAATTTATAGAATTCAAATGAAATCGACATATTTGATGACTATTATCAGGTCCATCAAATACGTTGTTTTCCATGTTTTATGATGGATGTTCTGATGTTCACCTAAATCCCATATATTCATATTAGAAATAAGCAATAGGTGGGAGCAAGATGGCGGCGTTTTCAATATAAATATATGGGATTTTAAAACCAATCAAAAATAAGAAAGCAATTGTCGCCACTGTGGGTAATAGAGTCACTGTATATAAATCAATAACCAGGCACGTGAAGTACTCCGGCCTACCGATCCAAAGATTTGGTATTAGTTACATTGTTCGACATTGCTCTGTAATGAAAATTCGAGAAGTTTAATATAAAACTTGTCGAAATTTATTGCATTAAAAGCTAAAATAAAAACTCCACCTTATTGTAGGTACTAGTAGGTACCTTCTATACAAAAACTACTTATAAAATCAAGTTAGAAATGATGTTAAGGGGTTTTAGTATTTTGGTAAATGTGTGTAATTTCAGTAATTTTAGTAATTTTAGTAATTTTAGAAAATAAGTGTAATTTTTTAGTAAGTATTGGTAATTCTGGTAAATGTGTGTAATTTTCGGTAATTTTGTAAATATCATTAAATATTTTGTAATTTTTTGTAAATATTATTTTGGTGTACACGATTATTCGGAGTGGTTACCCCTCGGGTTACCCCCTCGCTCGTCATGGAGCAAAACGAGCTGATCATGGTGCAAAATGGAGCAAAACTTGGTGTAAGTAATTTCAAGTTTCAAAACTTTCACTGAGGGGCAAGAAAAGATTCTTTGGAGCTCTGTTATTTCTGGTAATGGAGCAAAACTCGCCGATAGTGGAGCAAAATGGAGCAAAACTCGGGGAACAAAATGAGCATGATCAAATTTCAAAATTTTCACTGGGGGGGGCTGGGAGAGATTCTAGGGAGCTCTGTAGGTCTCTCCTGGTAATGGAGCAAAACGCGCCGATAATGGAGCAATGACCCTTATTCAACTACGACAATAATTAAAATTAAAATTTATCGAAAAATAAGCACGAGCCGCTACTGCTTGAAGCACAATATAATATCATCCCCCATAGGATAAATACTTAATTGTTTTCCGAGCGTTTTAGAATACAGCCCCACATAGCGATTTATTACTGAATAAATATAAAATACCTATAAAAAGATGATTTTCATCCTTACATAAATTTGAAATAAAATTCACGTTTCATATCAAGCCAAGATTTATGTCCTGGTGAAGCTTCATCGTATATAAAAGTTATTTTAATAAAACTCGTCTACCTATTTTCCATATGACGCCTTTAAAAAATATCTTGAAAGCCCCATTTTCGAATGAAGCACTTAGCAACGATGCAGCCCCACATTCAGGGTGGTGGAAAAATAAAAAGAAAAACCAACAAAAAAAATAACACGAGCAGCTTTTAGTTCGATAAATGGAAAACCCGTAAACGGTGATTACTTTTAAAGAGCTTGAGATGATGAGATGAATTCATAGTAAATTTTACCGAGAATGGGGAAAGTAGGTTAACTGAGTATAGTAAAGGTCTTCTTGGTTGTTGTTGCTTACGCCATTCAATTGACACATCGTCATACCTAGTTAGTTCCGATCAAGATTAATTAAATAAAAATACGCGATTTTATCTCCCTTGAACCCATTGTCAAAGAAAAACAAAACAAAAAACTTATTTGCTTCATAAAAAACTAATATGTAATCATAAACCTGTGGTACTTTCCATTATAGAAATAAATTTCATACAGTACCACCAGTAGCCATCAAAGTTGTTTTCATCTTACGGCTACCGCAACAAAGTACCTACGTGTCGACTAGTACCGTCAGATTTCCAATTACTTTGCTTTGTTTGTAGCCGCGCTATCGCAGTCGTTTTTGAATAACGTTTTCAGGTAATTTCAAAACGAAAAAATTATTCATCCGATAAATTCAAGCACCTGCTTCAATAATGTTAAATATTTTAAACTTTTAGTGACCGACACTGACATTCTATTTGAATAGAATGTAAATTATTATTATTGGCGGTATTGTGCATGATGTGTTGTCAGCATCAAGGTTTTTCTTTTTTAAATAATTATGATGCTTCAAGGATTTGTGCTTTAAAGAAAATTCAAATAGCCCAGCTTCTATCATTGAATTCATCGAACAATGGAACTTATTATTATTTAAAGATTTCTCTCTTGAGAGAGATTTTCTACTTCTCAAGTCGGTTTGTGACCAATATGATAGTAAAATACTTGATAATGGAAATGGCCTTTTAGTAAAATTCCGTTAAGTCATACTATATACCTCGAACACCGATAATTAAATAATAATAATTCTCACAAAGTAACATTAGCAAAGTGAACGTCTTGCCATTTACTGGTTTGCCTTATGTATGCAATCGTGACGCCGAGTCACGATCCTAGCCATCTTCATCCCACTAATGCTCTTTTCTCGATCTGAAGATTATTTCGAATTTGAATTCAGGTCTATAAATATTGGCTCTTTGTTTAAAGATGTTTTGCTATAACATAAACTTGTCCCTGGCGACAAAATATACATTTATTTACATTTTCCAACGATTTTAACGCCTACACGTATAAAATAATTCATATATAGTAAACCCAGCTTTATTTTTCTCTTAAAAGATTTGCATAGTATTAAAATTCAATGGCTCCAAGGGGGACATCAATATTCAAATTTTACTCTTTGAAGAGATCATCTTGTATACCTAATAAAAATATTTTGCAAAAGAGCTTCGTAATAAATTCTGTTTGTTCCCGGGACAAAGTGAAATTTAAATTAACTTAATTTTCTTTAGAATTACCCAAAACAAATTGCAATTACACGCTAGTTTAAGCAACTTGACACACTTCATAATCTGGTTCGAAATTTTTAGAAGAAAGTACCAAGAGTGACACAACAACAATGTTTAAACAAATATTATTGCATGTTTAACATAAACTTTCTTTTTCCCGTAGATAATAATTTTTTTAATGTTTTTGGCAACAATTTACCTTTGCAATTAACAAAGTTTTGGTGCACGTGACAACGTTTACTCATCCGTACTTATTTTGTTACAGGGAACCCTAACAAGTGCATCGCAATACCTTTTTTCCGCCCTCGACAGTCGTGCATATTTACGTTCAGCAACTGTGCTACTTCCTTCGTCGTGGCCCGATTCTTGCGCTTCTTCGGCCGTTTTAGAAGCTTCCGGTGAAGAATCAGATATAACAGGTAAATATTACATCATTTATATCAAGGGGTAAAGCATCCCCCTTAATTTGTGCGAACAATTCTTCAAACTATCCGCAAATTCCTCCAAATTTCCTAAACTGCTCGCAAATTCCCAGCAAATATTGAATTGACGTATGCGCCGAATTACCTATACGACAAATTAACAATGCAACGAATAGATGTATACGACTAATGAACGCTACGACGAATTGACGTAGCATCGTCACAACAAGTATCTGGGACAAAAATAATTCATATTATTCTCCTGAACTAGTTCTACCGTCAATGCATTTAATTCATAGTTTAACAAATATTTGACACTAAAAATCATATAATAATACACGAGCTCATATGATGCTGTCCCAGTTACTTTTTGTGACAATGGTACTTATACGACGAATTGACATAGATCCATATTAGGGGCTGCTCACTCACCATCGATTTCGGAAATCGCAGGGGATTTCAACCATTTTTGAGAGATTTCGAAAGGTTTCGGATATTCGAATTTCAACGCCGTACCACTAAGAATTTCGAGGATTTCGATCAGTGGCGGTCCATACATGATTATCAGGAGGGGGAGGGGGGTAACGGATGACGGGAAAATCATATGTAAAAAACACTAAAAACTCAAAACGATTGAGTTATTATTAACGGAGTTACGATTTTTTGAAAATAATGATGTTTTGTTAAGTAAGACTTTACAAACAATTTTTTCACTCAAAAACTAAAGTGAGTAGAAAGTTGAAATTTTGAGGACTTTTTCCTAATAATTTAATGTAAAAAATGCTTAAAACTCAAAGCGATTGAGTTATTATTAATGGAGTTACGATTTTTTGAAAATAATGATGTTTTGTAATGTAAGACTTTACAAATAATTTTTTCACTCAAAAACTAGAGTGAGTGGAAAGTTGAAATTTTGAGGACATTTTCCTAATGATTCAATGTAAAAAATACCAAAAACTCAAAGCGATTGAGCTATTATTATTGGAGTTACGATTTTTTGAAAATAATGATGTTTTGTAATGTAAGACTTTACAAATGATTTTTTCACTCAAAAACTAAAGTGAGTGGTCAGTTGAAATTTTGAGGACTTTTTTGTAATGATTCAATGTAAAAAATACCTAAAACTCAAAGCGATTGAGTTATTATTAATGGAGTTACGATTTTTTGAAAATAATGATGTTTTGTAAAGTAAGACTTTACAAACAATTTTTTCACTCAAAAACTAAAGTGAGTGGAAAGTTGAAATTTTGAGGACTTTTTCCTAATAATTCAATGTAAAAAATACCAAAAACTCAAAGCGATTGAGTAACGATTTTTTAAAAATAATGATGTTTTGTAAAGTAAGACTTTACAAACAATTTTTTCACTCAAAAACTAAAGTGAGTGGAAAGTTGAAATTTTGAGGACTTTTTCCTAATAATTCAATGTAAAAAATACCAAAAACTCAAAGCGATTGAGTAACGATTTTTTAAAAATAATGATGTTTTGTAAAGTAAGACTTTACAAACAATTTTTTCACTCAAAAACTAAAGTGAGTGGAAAGTTGAAATTTTGAGAACTTTTTCCTAATGATTCAATATGAAAAATGCCAAAAACTCAAAGCGATTGAGTAATTATTAATGGAGTAACGATTTTTTGAAAATAATGATGTTTTGTAAAGTAAGACATTACAAATAATTTTTTCACTCAAAAACTAAAGTGAGTGGGAAGTTGAAATTTTGAGGACTTTTTCCTAATGATTCAATGTAAAAAATACCAAAAACTCAAAGCGATTGAGCTATTATTATTGGAGTTACGATTTTTTGAAAATAATGATGTTTTGTAATGTAAGACTTTACAAATGATTTTTTCACTCAAAAACTAAAGTGAGTGGTCAGTTGAAATTTTGAGGACTTTTTTCTAATGATTCAATGTAAAAAATACCTAAAACTCAAAGCGATTGAGTTATTATTAATGGAGTTACGATTTTTTGAAAATAATGATGTTTTGTAATGTAAGACTTTACAAATAATTTTTTCACTCAAAAACTAGAGTGAGTGGAAAGTTGAAATTTTGAGGACATTTTCCTAATGATTCAATGTAAAAAATACCAAAAACTCAAAGCGATTGAGTTATTATTAATGGAGTTACGATTTTTTGAAAATAATGATGTTTTGTAAAGTAAGACTTTACAAACAATTTTTTCACTCAAAAACTAAAGTGAGTGGAAAGTTGAAATTTTGAGGACTTTTTTTTCCTAATAATTCAATGTAAAAAATACCAAAAACTCAAAGCGATTGAGTTATTATTAATGGAGTTACGATTTTTTGAAAATAATGATGTTTTGTAATGTAAGACTTTACAAATAATTTTTTCACTCAAAAACTAGAGTGAGTGGAAAGTTGAAATTTTGAGGACATTTTCCTAATGATTCAATGTAAAAAATACCAAAAACTCAAAGCGATTGAGCTATTATTATTGGAGTTACGATTTTTTGAAAATAATGATGTTTTGTAATGTAAGACTTTACAAATGATTTTTTCACTCAAAAACTAAAGTGAGTGGTCAGTTGAAATTTTGAGGACTTTTTTCTAATGATTCAATGTAAAAAATACCTAAAACTCAAAGCGATTGAGTTATTATTAATGGAGTTACGATTTTTTGAAAATAATGATGTTTTGTAATGTAAGACTTTACAAATAATTTTTTCACTCAAAAACTAGAGTGAGTGGAAAGTTGAAATTTTGAGGACATTTTCCTAATGATTCAATGTAAAAAATACCAAAAACTCAAAGCGATTGAGTTATTATTAATGGAGTTACGATTTTTTGAAAATAATGATGTTTTGTAAAGTAAGACTTTACAAACAATTTTTTCACTCAAAAACTAAAGTGAGTGGAAAGTTGAAATTTTGAGGACTTTTTTTTCCTAATAATTCAATGTAAAAAATACCAAAAACTCAAAGCGATTGAGTTATTATTAATGGAGTTACGATTTTTTGAAAATAATGATGTTTTGTAATGTAAGACTTTACAAATAATTTTTTCACTCAAAAACTAGAGTGAGTGGAAAGTTGAAATTTTGAGGACTTTTTCCTAATAATTCAATGTAAAAAATACCAAAAACTCAAAGCGATTGAGTAACGATTTTTTAAAAATAATGATGTTTTGTAAAGTAAGACTTTACAAACAATTTTTTCACTCAAAAACTAAAGTGAGTGGAAAGTTGAAATTTTGAGAACTTTTTCCTAATGATTCAATATGAAAAATGCCAAAAACTCAAAGCGATTGAGTAATTATTAATGGAGTAACGATTTTTTGAAAATAATGATGTTTTGTAAAGTAAGACATTACAAATAATTTTTTCACTCAAAAACTAAAGTGAGTGGGAAGTTGAAATTTTGAGGACTTTTTCCTAATGATTCAATGTAAAAAATACCAAAAACTCAAAGCGATTGAGCTATTATTATTGGAGTTACGATTTTTTGAAAATAATGATGTTTTGTAATGTAAGACTTTACAAATGATTTTTTCACTCAAAAACTAAAGTGAGTGGTCAGTTGAAATTTTGAGGACTTTTTTCTAATGATTCAATGTAAAAAATACCTAAAACTCAAAGCGATTGAGTTATTATTAATGGAGTTACGATTTTTTGAAAATAATGATGTTTTGTAATGTAAGACTTTACAAATAATTTTTTCACTCAAAAACTAGAGTGAGTGGAAAGTTGAAATTTTGAGGACATTTTCCTAATGATTCAATGTAAAAAATACCAAAAACTCAAAGCGATTGAGTTATTATTAATGGAGTTACGATTTTTTGAAAATAATGATGTTTTGTAAAGTAAGACTTTACAAACAATTTTTTCACTCAAAAACTAAAGTGAGTGGAAAGTTGAAATTTTGAGGACTTTTTTTTCCTAATAATTCAATGTAAAAAATACCAAAAACTCAAAGCGATTGAGTTATTATTAATGGAGTTACGATTTTTTGAAAATAATGATGTTTTGTAATGTAAGACTTTACAAATAATTTTTTCACTCAAAAACTAGAGTGAGTGGAAAGTTGAAATTTTGAGGACATTTTCCTAATGATTCAATGTAAAAAATACCAAAAACTCAAAGCGATTGAGCTATTATTATTGGAGTTACGATTTTTTGAAAATAATGATGTTTTGTAATGTAAGACTTTACAAATGATTTTTTCACTCAAAAACTAAAGTGAGTGGTCAGTTGAAATTTTGAGGACTTTTTTCTAATGATTCAATGTAAAAAATACCTAAAACTCAAAGCGATTGAGTTATTATTAATGGAGTTACGATTTTTTGAAAATAATGATGTTTTGTAATGTAAGACTTTACAAATAATTTTTTCACTCAAAAACTAGAGTGAGTGGAAAGTTGAAATTTTGAGGACTTTTTCCTAATAATTCAATGTAAAAAATACCAAAAACTCAAAGCGATTGAGTAACGATTTTTTAAAAATAATGATGTTTTGTAAAGTAAGACTTTACAAACAATTTTTTCACTCAAAAACTAAAGTGAGTGGAAAGTTGAAATTTTGAGAACTTTTTCCTAATGATTCAATATGAAAAATGCCAAAAACTCAAAGCGATTGAGTAATTATTAATGGAGTAACGATTTTTTGAAAATAATGATGTTTTGTAAAGTAAGACATTACAAATAATTTTTTCACTCAAAAACTAAAGTGAGTGGGAAGTTGAAATTTTGAGGACTTTTTCCTAATGATTCAATGTAAAAAATACCAAAAACTCAAAGCGATTGAGCTATTATTATTGGAGTTACGATTTTTTGAAAATAATGATGTTTTGTAATGTAAGACTTTACAAATGATTTTTTCACTCAAAAACTAAAGTGAGTGGTCAGTTGAAATTTTGAGGACTTTTTTCTAATGATTCAATGTAAAAAATACCTAAAACTCAAAGCGATTGAGTTATTATTAATGGAGTTACGATTTTTTGAAAATAATGATGTTTTGTAATGTAAGACTTTACAAATAAT